TGGCTTCTTACCTCCCTCTCTTCCATATCTTTCAACATACCTTCCAGGAGGATCTGCTCCACAGATTTCCCAGGAATAGAGATGAAAGTGACAGGTCATTAGTTCCAGGAATCTCCTTTTTACACTTCCTAAGAACAGGCATGATGCTCCTTTCCAGTCACTGGGTATGTTGCCCGACTGCCACGGCTCTTTGAGCCCCCTGCAGAGCCACGAGCAGATGGTGCTTTGGCTGGTTGGTGGCCTGGCTGAGGGTCAGTGCTTCCCTCTGCCCTTACAGGGCATCCTGGCACACCCAGCCTTGGGATCAGGAGTGGCCAAGAGGCCTTGGAGCCACCTGCAGAATCACAGAACTCTGAGATCACTGAGCCCAACTGTGCAGCCAGGGGAAAGAAAGAAGGGGGAGGGAGGGAAGGGAAAATCAACAACCCCACACAAACCCAACGACAACGCACAACCCACAACAACCCACCACGCCCACTAGAGCATGTCCTGAAGTGCCACATCTACACATCTCTGGAATCCCTTCAGGGACAGTGACTCCACGACCTCCCTGGGCAGGCTGTTCCAGTGCCTGACCACACTTTCAGTAAAGAATTTCTCCCTCATATCTAGTCTAAGGACCACAGGCCAATACCAGGTGTCTGTCCTCACTGGTCTGCCCCAGATGGGGCAGGTGCTGCCCACCATGGGGTGTATGGAGCAGGACTCAGTTTCACCTGGCCCTACAGTCAGAGGAGCTGCCTGGTGTGCTCTGGGGAACCAGCAGCTGTTTTCCAGGGGTTTGCTTGTGAATCCTGGGGGTTCACAAATCATACACCCCAGTGCGGGCAACGCTGCCCCAGAGGAGATGCAGTTGCTTCTGCAAGGTTGGTCAGGACTAGCATACAGAATTCTTTGCAAGAGAGTAGAGAGAATACTTTAAAAATATGTTTATGTGAAATGCAGGCTCAGAAGGTGAAGCACATGAAGTGCTGGGCTGTGCTCGGTGGGGTGGAATGAAGTCGTCTGCCATGTGAGGTTAAACTGCACGGGGTGAAGCTCCAGGGAAGCCAAGAGGCCCCACACGAGCTCTGGGCACAGCCACCTACACGTGGCCCTGCTCAGGGGCCTGGTGCAGTGTGGGGAGGGGGTCTGCAGCTCCTGGGAGAAGCACCAGGACTGGCATCCAGGGAGGGTCAAAGCGTGAGCCTGGAGAGGGGCCGAGGGGGTTCAGCGTGCCAAGGGATCTGTGGAACCAAAGCAAATTCCTCCACAGGAGAACGAAAGTTAGGCCAGGGGTTTGGAGTGGGTGGAGACTGACCAAGGGCTCTGCCGGCATCCTGAGGGGTGGGAGGGAGAGAGGTCAGGCAGCACAGGGAGGGCTTTTCATGTCACCCACCTGCCTGACAACGTTGTTGATAGTGGCATCCCAGTAGAAGCCTTTTAACTCTTGCAGCAACTTTTGTCCTGTGTTGAGGGTGACCCGAGGCACAGGCCGAGGTGTCACGTCCAGCAGGTGGGTGCTGGGAGCTGCAGCCCAGGCACCTGCCATGCGGCAGGGCGGGCTGGAGAGGGAGCTGGTGACACAGGACATCGGTGCAGCAGAGCCCTCGTCACCAACAAGTGTCGGCCAGAGGCTCCGTAGCAGCCGGACTGCGGGGAGGGTGCCCAGACCCCAGCAGGGAGGTTCCCAGAGCAGGACCGCGCTGTGCAGGGGCTGCAGGGGGTGATGCTCTGGAGCCACCTCCCAGCAGGGCAGCCGGGGTGAGGGCAGGACCCGTGCGAGGACACGAGGTGCCTCCTGTGTGACCACGACACAGAACTGCTGCGTGACACCGCTTCTGAGCCGGCTGGGGCTGCAGCCGGGGGTCTGGGCTCCCACCCACTCCCCGCAGTGCCCCGTGCCCCGGTAATCACCGCCCGGACCAGGCAGCTGCCCGGGGCACCCATCGCGGGCTCTGCGGCAGGAGGCGGGGGGCAGGGGGGTCCCCAACGGCGCTCGGAGGCTGCTGCTGGCAGAGCCCAGGGCTTATCTGTGTCAGCAGCAACATCTGACATTTCAGAGCCCCGCAGCAGCTGTTCCTGCACCCGGAGCTCAGGGAAAAGAGACAGCGGCACCTTCTGCTGCCGTTGGGAGCTGGGGAACACGAAGCCTCCTCCTGCATTTGTTCAGCGTTCAGAGCTGCTCACGGACCTCCAGCTTTGCACCGAACATCCAGCAGTGGCCGTGGAGGGGACAGCATGGGATCCTCCACATGGGACCCGGCACAGAGAAGTCCTGGGAAGGAGTCCTGGGAAATTTCCAGTTTATTCTCTGAGCATTCAAGTAGGACTCATGGCAGAGACAGAACACAGCCCAGAGATGCTGGATCGGAGCAACCCTATAGCATGTGCACCACCAGGGCTGGGGACCAGTGCAGCCACGGGCACTGGCCTTGGGAGGGGCAACCTGGGGACAGCGCTGCAGTGCTCTGGGCTGCTCTGTGCCCGTGGTGGCTGAGGTGGCCCAGCCAGGAGTGGCCATGCTTGGAGAGGGGTCAGGAGGGGCCTGGCAGACCCTCAGCAAGCTGCCATGTCCTACCCTGCCTGGGGACAGTGTCACTGTGCCCAAGGAACAACGTGGCCAGTCATGGCCTTAGCCTGGAGCTCCAGGCTCCTGGTGCTGGAGGGGCCGTGGTGCACCCTGCAGATGAGGACCAGACCTTGACCTTGGCTCACTGGGCTGTGGGACTGGGAGCCCAGCAGGGACCTGAGGCCAGAGCTTTCAGCAGCATGACTCTAACGAAGTTTTGAGCTTCCAGGAGGACTCACCCTCACCAGACCCTGCAGGGAGCAGTGGTGAACCTGTGGCTGGTGTGTGCCCAGATGTGTCAGTACACTCTGCCCAAGGATTAGCCTTGTCCTATCCTGTGCTCAGCTGGAGCCAGATGCTTCTCTCCTTGGGGAGAACTCCCTGAGCACTCAGAGTGCCTCAGAAGTGGTGTCACTATATGGTGAGGGGCATTTTTCTGACACACAGAATCACAGAATGGTTTGTGTTGGAAGAGACCTTTAAAGATCATAGAATCACAGAATGGTTTTAGATGGAAAAGACTTTTAAGATCAAGTCCAACCAGTGACCTAGCACACTGCCAGGTCCACCACTAAAGCATGTCCCTACGTACCACATCTACATGTATTCAAAATAGCTCCAAGGGTGATGACTCCATTGCTTCCCTGGGCAGCCTGTTCCAGTACCCGAAATCATCTAGTCCAACCCGTTGCAATAGGCAGGGACAACTTCCACTAGACTCAGCCTGTCTCCAGAGCAGAGTTACTCCAGCCCTTCCATTACCTCCATGGCCTCCTCTGGAGTTGCTTCCACAGCTCTGTGTCTTTCATATGTTGGGGACCACAGAGCTGGACCCAGCCCTGCAGGGGGGTCTCACCAGAGCAGAGCAGAGCAGAGGGGGAGAATCACCCAAACTCCCTCCTCGTGGTGTGCATGTCACTGCCCAGAGGGGTCTTCTTGGCTCCTTTGCTGGATGTGGTTTCCCAGCCCTGCCCTGTGGGGTCCCTGGACACACCTGGGAGTGGGCAGGTCCAGCTGCCCCGCATGTCTGCCCCCTTCCCCTGCCTCCCTGGATCCCCTGCATGGTCTCTGCCATCTTCCTGGATCCTCCTGGCTGCCAGACGGGGGGGACCAGATGGGTGCAGCCTCCGCCTGGCTCCCAGCCCATCTGG